AAAAAGACCTCTGCAGTTATTTACGGATCTCAGACTCACTGAGACGACCGTGACGGCTTAATGAAAAGCAGAATTATGATACATACATCAATGAGATTTTTGGCATGGAAAACATCAGAGATCTCATAGCCAAGCAGATCCTCTTTGGTTCTCCCCAGACCCTGGATGTTCACATGCTGGACAACCACCTGTGATCCAGGATAAAAGTCACATCGTCACCAAACACTTACTTTTAAAAACTGCTGCTTTTAATCATGTGTCTGATGGTCATATCCTATTGCATGAGCTTGTGATTGAGTCAACACACTGCATTATGAACTACTGTAGCCTACATTCAGTTTACAGTTCATACACTTGTATGAAGTGTTAGGATCACAACAATTACTATTATTTTTGCACTATTGTGGTGCACAACACTTAGTACGGTGCTGAGCATAGCTGTAACTATCAAGCATATTTACATTTAGGACTGGGAGCAGTTAGGGAAATCATCTCCAGACATTTCACACAAATAAAACTGTTGTAGCTTCTTAACAATCAATGCAATGATTTTGTTCAACTCCTTGAATTAAGGTCTGCACTTCGTTTGCATCTTGACAGTTTCATTTCATATTTCTGTGGTTCCTCACAGAGCCCTGCAGCTGCCACAAAGGCGTCTATCAGTGTGTTTGACAGATGAGGTGCACAGAATAAAGCTCTGTATCGTGAAGGGACTCATAGTGTAAAGTGCTTCCTGTGGCTTCTCTGCTCTCACTGAGCACTCAGAGCGCTTAAGACTACATTCATCAGTTCTCGCTCGTTAACACACATTCATACAGCACTTAACTGTGTGCCTTTAAGTTCCCTTTACCTATCATGCACACACTCTGGGTTCAGTGTCTTGCCAAAAGACTGTGGACTGAAAGAGCGAGGGAACAAATCCCTGACTTTGCCATTAGCAGATCCCTGCAGCCACAGGTTCCCCCGACAGTGGTCAGTGTGCTTCTTGTGCTCCAGTATGACCCATATCTAAAAGCTAGTGTTGCCAACACTGTGCCTGAGCTACTCCTGAGAAAACACTGCTTTAAGATCTCCTTCTGCTCCAGTTGTAGCACACAGTCACTGCACACGAATCTGTGCTGCACGTATCTCCGTCACAAAGAGCTACAGGTCACCCATTGCATCATGACAGAGAGGTAGCTAGGTCAAGAGAGACATGGAGTCCCATCCCTGTTAGTATCAGTGTGATTGCACTAATGAGCGTGGTTCTTTCTAAGAAGCACATCAATATATGTTCAAGCCCAGATTCTGTCTGAAACATTTGGGAGTCAAGACCACTGAACTACACCTGATGCAGAAAAGAAAGGCCGTTTGCATGCACCAAGGACACAACGTCAGTTTTTGTGTGACTCACATTCAGAAAAGTTGTATTACCTTATTTATTTAGTCCTTTCAGTGCTGCCTAAGATTACCTACCATCCTTCTCTTTACAGCCCCTTTCCCTAAATCCCAACCTATCTTATGACCGTCCAAATTGTGGGTGCCTGCTGAGAGGCAGCTCGCGAGC